GGCTGACCGGCGCTGCAGACCCTGGCTGCCCAGGGTGGGCTGACCTCTGGCAGCGATGCCATGCCTGCGTTACTTGAGGGTGAGTACCTGGGCATGGTAATGGGCTCACCGGGCAGCACTGAGGGGACAGGAATCAGGTCAGTTCTCAGGGTGTTGGTTTGCACATGGGAGTTTGGGTATATCCTGGCCAGTAACATGGACTTAAGTCTGGTCCAGAGAAAGCGGCCCTTGTCCCCAAAAGATTGCAGCTGGATGGACCCAGAATGGCCGGAAGGGTTTTCTGCCCTTCTTAGTTCGCTGGGAACTGGCCTAAGGTTGCGCTGGGAGCCAGTGGCAGAGCCTGACACTGAATCCAGAAGGGCTAGGTCCCTGTGGTGCTGTACTTGTCCTGTCCTTCTCACCACTGCTTTGCTGGCAGAAGGGAGGCGCCTCCAAGTGTTGTTTTTTTGCTCTATTGTAATGGTGAATGTTGATTTCTGTGTTGTCATCTTTCTCATTTACCCACCTGAAGCTCTGGCCAGGCGCATGGGATGACGTGATAGGCACAGCATGGGCTCTGCGGCGGCTTTGCTTGCGTGTCCTCGCCAGGGAGCCGCTGGCAGAGACACATGGCCAGGCCTGGGCTTCAGGTGCTTTCCTGGCAATGCTTTCCTCCCTGCATGGCTTCCGGAGGCTGCACCCCAAGTGCTGGCCCGAGCAGCCTGGTTGAATGCTGCCAGCAGTGAATCCATTGCAGCCGAGGCACAGGGACTGTTCTGCCGCTCCTCAGGGTGTGCAGATCCCAGCTCAACCCCCTTCTCAGTGCTTTTGCTCCTGTGGGCAAACAAAGCACATGTGGACTAGCCATGCTGAAGCAGAGGTAGAGAGTGAATCAGAACAGACTGCAGAAATTAGGAGCAGTTTATAAGCATCACTAAAAAAGAGAAGGAATTTTCTTCAGGCAGTACGGGGACAGATTCTGATGGCACGATCTGGACTCCAGCACATCTCCTGAGCCTGAGGCTGCTCTGCGATGGCTGGTGTCAGGCAAGCTCAGAGCATGTCTCTGCTTTCCTTCTGCACTGGTAACCTGCTAGAGCCCTCTCAGCTCTCCAGCACCCAGTGCACACACCTGCCTAAGCCATGCCATGGTCCAAGGAAGGAAGTGTATTCAGAAAGTAGGAGGTAAAAAGCAGTTACAGCGCTGCTGCGTCTCTCTCAGCAGCTGTAAGCCCTGTCCTGTTACTAGAAGAGGTGTAGCACCTAAGCAAAAAGCTCTCCTGTATTGTCTTCAGTCACAGTCTATATATTTTCTGGTGAGGTAAAAATAGCTTTTCTTTTTCAGGATATGCAGAGAGCAAAGGCTCCTGCTAACATCAAAGGAGAGTGACAGCTTTCCCCTGGGTGTGCGTGGCCTCAGCTGGCAGGAGCACAGATGTGTTAATTCTTGCCTTGCTTGGGCTCTATGTGAAAGGAACAATGTCCTGGTCTCCAGCTCCCAGTTCAGACCCCTGGACCAGCCCCTGTTCCTCTTTCCCCTCACTGCTGCTGGACCCAGCACCGTACTTCATTAGGAAAGTGGTGGCTTGCAAATGACAGAACAAGCTTTTGATTCTACTACTTAGAAAATGCATTAGTGGCAGGTGGGAACTGACAGAGGCAAGTTTTCATAGAGCTGCAGGCTGTAGCACCAGGGGACCCTTATCAGAAGGATCAGTCTGCTGCATAGGGGCAGCTCCCAAGTCCTTGCTCAAAGCAGATTAAGCTGTATCTGGTACCCCCCCTCTTCGCAGTCCTGAATCTGTTCCAGCTTCAGCAATAGCAAAGGGGATCGGGGAGGGGAGGGAGGGGGGCGGGGAAGGAGCTGAATGGCAACCCAGATCCTCTCAGTATCTGAATATGCTCAGCAGGGGCCATGATAACTTGGCCCTGAACTGCACAACCAGTGACAGTCCAGAACTGCCTTTGCTGTTAAGAGTGCATAAAAATGGGCTTTCTGAAAGCTAGTTACTCATGGCTACGTAATGATGGAGGATTGCGCGTGATGGAGGGGCCAGTCTGGTGCCTGCACCTGAAAGTTTGCCCCTTTCTTCAGTACTTTCAAAAAGCTAATTGTCAAGTTGCCTCCCTTCCCACAAACCTGCCAGAGGCCGTTCTTCTTTTGCTTTGGGATGTCTCCTCTGCCCGCTGTGCTGAGTTGTCTTCCAGCTCTAACAGGGCCTTGCTGCAAAAACACAAGCAGATCTTTCATTTCTTGCATGCTCCCATTCAACTGCTGCAAGATGGTTGGGCTCCCCCTTGTATTCTGGTCTGGGGATCTCTGCTGGGCATATAAACCATCCAACTCTGTGGTACATGCTTTTGTGAGGCCTGGGGCTATTGTGAAATCTCCAGTCAGCAGAAAGGAGCATGGGCAAAGGGTTTTCTCAGCTGGTGCATGGAATAAGAAAAAACTTGCTTGGCAGATGCCTTCCAGAGGTGACCTCTTGTGCCTTGACGCTCATCAGTCCTATTAAGATCTGCGAACCTGTCCTAAATCATGTAGGCAGAGGTGGGGATGATTAGGTAATTAGAGAGTAGAACTTGGAACTTGAGCATATGGATTTATCTGTCTTAAATCATGTGGGCAGGGATGAGGATGATGAGAGAACAGAATTTGGGCATGTGGATTTATCCTTTTATCTGATGAATTTTCCCAATGCTTTTGCTATTCTCTTTCATCTGGGTTTGCAGTATGTAGCCTGCTCTCCATGCTCTGCTAGCTGCCTGCCTGGGGCTTTGCTACTGTGGCCTCTCTGGAGATGCTGTGCTCTGCTGAATGCTGTCTTCTACTCAGAAGGCAGAAACCTGCCAGTAGGTTTTGTTTCTGCTGCAGGGACCACTGAGAGTGTCAAGTTTCTGTGAATAGGAGAGAAAGTTCCTGTAAAGCAGACAGCATGAGTTCTGTTTCTGGGATTTTGGATTGAATCTCTAATTCTTTTTGAATTGAATCTCTAATTCAATTTTCCTCATCTTCCCTGATCATGTTAAAGAGACCCTCAGTGCCATCTTTGACTGCTGTTAATCTCAGCAGCTGTTTCACTGTGTTTCTGGGACTGAAATATTCTCCTCATCTGATGAGGATCCAGGTTATCACCTGCCGACCTGGGCACTTGATGTCTGCAAGGCAGGGACATCCAGAGAAATCCCTGGGTTAGGCTTAAAAGTAAACCAGCACACTGATGTAAGGCTTTGCTGTCTCTGCTGGAAATAATGCCTCACAGGGGGGATCGTGCCCACTATGGGACACAATCCCACATGAGCAAAGAAATGTCAAAGCAAATGTCAAGGGCAGTTGCAAGGTTCATTACAATACCTCCCTGGCTGGCAACACTGACCTTAAGTTCCAGCACCCTTCCAGCATTGCAGCTGGAAGTGACTGGATGACCTCCTAGATGTGAGTTGGACATTTCCACTCCACCTAGGCAGGATGCCTGTAACAATATATGGCTTTGGTGCCAGGATTCAGGTTTGCATCTTGCTGCCGGTCCTGGGCCTCTGTTTGTTGGGATGATTGTTGCTGCCCAGCCTGTCCTGTCCCCTGCGCCATGAGCCAGTGTCAATCTGTCTCGGTTTCCCCCGTTCACCAGCAGACTGGCCACATACAGCAGGAGGATGTGTGTCTGCCACTGTGCCTCCCTCAGGCAGGGCCAGTGGTAAAACTGCGCCTCCCCCTTAGCAGCAGCACATGGTGCTCAGGAGGGACCATGGCCCTCCTGCTGCCATTTCTCTGCTGTCACGCAGTTTGCACACCCCAGTTTGCAAGACACCCCAGCTGCCTTTGCTCCTAAGGTGTCCCAGAGAGAGGGTGGCATGTGTTGCTCCTGGTAAGGGGTTTTGAGGGAGTGTTAGAACAACGGAGCTGTGAACAGATGCCTGCAGCTTGCAGAGCAGGAGCTGCTGAGCTCCTTGCTGGAAGGAGCACGTCTTCCAAAGAATACAAAAGAGACAAAAGGGTCTGAAGATGCAGAGTTATCATTAGTGGCAAAACTCTTGAGACAGCAAGAGACCTGTGTAGTGGTTTAATTAGGTGTAATTGCTTTCAAGATTTTTGCTATAGAGCAGCCATAGGAAGCTTTTCATGCAGCAAAGCCTGCTGCTCTTCACTGGCAATGTTCTCCAGTAGCAAGGCCTGGCAGAAACAAACCTGAACCAGTGTAGGGTTGGCGGGAGGGTGCCTGCTCCAGAGGGGCCTGGTCTGCATCCTCCTGCCTCTGGCACGCAGGGACTAAGCCAGCTTCCCTCCCTTCCCATACAGGTGTCAGCTGAGTGGCTCGGCAGCGGAGCAGACCCAAACTTGTTGGCTACTGGGTTTGCCGTTTGGCAGAAAGTGTTTTGCTGCCCAAGGCATGGGAAGCAATTTGTTACTTGAAATCTGCATTGCATTGCAATTCCTCTTCTCTAGCGTAAGAGCAGCGCTGCTCTTCAGTGAGGGCAGAGACTCTGAAGATACACAGCAGAGACCAGGGAGGGGGAAAGGCAGGAGCTGAACAATCTGAGAATCGAGAGTCTGGGAATTCCCTATAGCACCACATGTTTCGAATGTAGCTCTGGCTGGGTGGTACCTCTAGGTAACAGTGAAGAAATACAGCCCATTTCAAAAATACCCAGTGACTGCAAGCTCCCCTACTCCTCCCTCTCTGTAACTTGTCCTTGCAGCTCTTCCAATGGAGCAGGGAGTGGGCTGGTTTCAAGCATTGAAGCAGTGTTCCTGCAGGCAGTGAGAAGGTCCAGTGGATGCTCACAGTCCCTGAGTGGGTGTGCTGCCCTCGCTGTCTGTGCTGCCTGCGGTGCGAGCAGGGATGCTCTCCAGGGATGGCTGGAGCCAGAGACCTGTTGGAAAGGGCACCTAGTCCCTTTCTTTGGGTATCTTTGGCACTGTCCATAGCAGGACATGTTCCCAGGCAGTCCCACAGACCTGTGTGCACATCCTTGCAGTGAAGGGCTCCCAGGTCCTCTGGAGCTCCTCAGCGAGAAGCCCCTCAGCCCCTCCTGATGCCGGGTGCTCTATGAACAGCACAGGAGCTGCAGTCCCTCATTGCTCAGCAGAATTGCAAATAGAGGAGACGAGTGGGCAGACAGCGTAAAGAGGGCAGTGTAGCAGGATGCACATGTGCCTTTTTCCAGTCTTGAACAGTGTGGCAATTTGCCTCTCTTGCCTGTCTTTGCGTCCCAGAAAACATTGTGAGATCAGCACAAGTCCCTAAACTTATTTGCAGTTGGGAATCATCTAGTTGCAGCGTTTGGCAGCTTGTACAGAGTGGTGTCCTGACAAATGTGCCCACCTTTCCCAGAAGGCAATGCTGGGACCCTCCCTTACGTTATCAGTGATGTGCAGAAGGTGCTGGCAGCAGCTCCTCCCTGGGTGGGAGCAAGAGCCAGGCACTGCCAGAAGAGATTAGAGCAGGACTCCCACCACAGCCAGAAGACAGAGCAGGATTACCCAGCTTCTGACTACAGCCCTTGAAATCCAGGCTGAGCCTCTGGTTTGGCAGAGCTTCCCCTATGCTTATTGCCTTGGCCATGGCTACAATGGGAATGGTCAAGTCCACGGGCTTGGTCAGGTCCAGGAGACTCATGTTGGGGTGAAGAGCTGGGAGATTCATCGAGCGGCAGTAATGCTTTGTGGGGTGAGACTGTGAGAGCAGGAAAGCACCTATGAATAGGAACAGGGGAAGCCACTAACCAGGGCCAGGAGAGGGAAAGGAAAAAACTTAGATTGTCAGTAGACGAGGGGAGCTTTTTCCTGATAATAGAATAGAATGGAACAGAACAGAATAGAATCACAGTCCGATGTGCTGTGCTATGTTTTTTACTTTAAAAGGTCTTGGAGCGCTTTGCAAAGTCCAGATCCAAGGCTTCTCTCTTGGGGAATTGCTGGAAGCAGCCTCCTGACACCTCACAGCTTGAATGTCCGCTAGTCTGTGGGGCAGGGCACCCATGGTGTAGGGTTTAGCGGCTGTGTAGAAGTGCAGGAGGTGCACAACAGCAAGTGAGGCAGGATATTTTCTCCTCTGGAATAGCTCCTTCCTGGAAGGTAAAGGAGAATGGAAAGAAACACTGCAAACTCCAAAGAAATGAAAACCAGTAGAGGCTCTCTGCCTCTGGAAGCAGTTGCTGTGTGTCCTGGGGCACACGGGGTAGCCAGTGACCGCGTGTGCATGTCTGTACAAACACTGTGGTGCATGTAGCATGCCCATGCTATGCTTTGTGCTTATTAGTGGATGGTAACTGTGCAATGTGTGTGTGTCTGTGTTTAGGAACACTGGTGTTGTGCTGATTGGGATGTGTATCTATTTGATATGCACATCTACTTGTGTCCATCAGGTCTATGTGTTTCTTACTGTCACTGCTCCTTTTTGCTGAAACCCAGGAGATGGCAGTGACTCACTCCCTACTTCAGTTCCTTGGCTAATCTAGCGTTGTCTTGCTCTCTGACATCCCAAAACAAAGCCAGCCTTTCTGAACGAATGCCCCTGAGTGATAAGCGGACAGCCCCGACATACACACTGACATCAGAAGGGCAATATGACTGTGGATCTTTTCCCTCTGCTTTTACCATTTGAGCTGAGCTATGTCTTCTTCTGTGGCTGCATGTCTGGTCTGCCTGGTGTCCTGCATCCCCCTGTGCATCTCTGAAAGGTGTTGCTGAACATGGCCAGCAGAAAGGCAGTACCTCTGAAGCCTCAGCATGTTCTCCGAGGCTCTGGACACAGCACCCAGAGGGGTGCGAGGGAGGAGCGACCCCTCTCCTCGGTGGCAGGCGTTACCTGTGAGATGCCAGGCTCCTGGGCACGTCTGTGGGGCTGCTCTTTCTCTGCTGCTCCCGAGGTGGTACCTGCAGCTCTGACCCGCTCCCTGCTCTTGGCAGCAGTCATCTGCTTTCCGGAGGCGGCTTGGTATTAAATATCCTGTCTGACACAATAATGGAGAGAAAATGAACAAATTCCATTAGCGGCTGGCGATTCCTGCAGGGTCTGCGTTGGAGCGAGGAGGGAGCCTGTATTTTTAGATAGAATGCAATGTAACTTACTGGCTCTCTCAAAGCTAGGGAGTAGATAACCAAGGAGGGAGAGGGGGGACGCTGGGCTCAGGTTTCAGCTGAAGTGCCGGACTATGGCAGCACGAAAGGGCAGGTCCGGTCCAGACGTGGCTGTGAGTATACAACGCACTTCTCCTCCCTGCCTTCGGAGACCTTCGCTTTGCTTTTCTGCTTGCTTTCTGCCTGTAGTCTCTGCTGCTGGGTGTGCTGGGGCTTTGGGAGCCCCTTTGCTGCTGCAGCCTGTAGAGATTTACCATTTTAAATCTTCGCAGCTCCATGTGTGTCCCATGGGTGGGAGAGCCTGGCTGAGCTGAGCTTTGATTTTCCAGGGGGTTTGCTGTGGACGGTCTGTGCTGTGGCTGGCATGCAGCCCTGTCATTGATCCTGACCGAAATACAGAGGCTTCTAGCAGGGTCTGGAGCTGGAAAATCTCTTTGCATTCAACCTGTTGCTTGAAGCTGTTGGTGTTTCCTCTCTAGACCCCAGACAGCACAGGCAGGGCTCAGCGTGGAAACGTGTACTGCAAGGCACAGTGCTGGTGCTGCCTCTGCCTCTCATGGTAGATCATCCTCTACGAGAGACACACAGAGCTGTGTCTCCTCTGTGCCCGCAGTCCTCCCCAAAGCCGGCAGCTCTGCTGTGAATCTGGGGTCTCTCCCCAGGTGGACAGGGCTGTCCTCTGCAGTGGCAGCAAGTGGAGCCAGCTGGCTGGGGAGGTCACGCGATGGGCACGTGTGTCGTCCCCCCCCCCGGAGGCTGTGTGCCAGGACAGGGCACGGTGCTGCTGCCCTGCTCTGCCTGTCCCTCTGCCCCTGGGTGGCCCCCATGGCACCTGGACACTGCTGTGGGAGCCCAGGCCCAGCTCTGCAGCGTGTGCCTGGCACGGCAGGGACCAGGACACCCTCTCCATGGACATGGTTGTTGCAGGGGGTAGCAGACCGGTGGGCCTAGGACAGGGTTACGTGTCTCTGTGGTAGGAGGGTCAGGCAGAAAGGATGGGCTGGGGGAGGCAGATGGAGGTGAGTAGAAGGTGACCGAGTTGTGCTTCTCCAAAGTCCAAATTTGAATAGCTGAGGCTGCTAAGAGAAGGGAAGAGAGGAGCCTTGAACCCATGTGGTGCATCATCCTGCCCAGGTCTGCCTCCAGTGCTGTCCTCTGTGGCTGTGCTGCTTCCAGCTCCTGTCCAGGAGCTTCCTCATCCTGGGTGCTCCTCAGCATCCAGGCTGTAGGCACTACAGGGTGGCCTGGCATAGCAGGATGTAGACTCTTGTAGCGCAGGAGGTCCCTTGGTCAGTCTCAGCATGAGCAGTACAGGAGGAGGTCTGATTTTCTGTTGGAGCTGAAGGCAGAGGAGTGTGTCCTGTGCCCTCACCATGGATGTCTCTTGGCTTTTTGCTGCAGAGAGCCCTTTGGGTCCTAGCAGGCAGGAACCAGCTCGTAGTTACCAGTCCAAGGTCCCAACCTCACAGAGCCGCATCACTGCATTTCCACCTGTTTGTTCACCAGCTTCTGGTGAGCCATCCCATGGTCATCATTTGCTGCCTTACACTGCTAAATAGTGTGGCTTGAAGTATTGCTGTGTGTTGCCTGTGGTAGCCACGTTTTAGTGGTGCAGGCAGGCACTGCCTTGCTTCTGTCGGAAACAAGAGTTGTGACTTTCCTGGCTGCAGGCGCTTGGCCGCGGTCATTGTCCCCAGTGCTGGTCCTCAAGCTCACCACCGCGGCTACCCAGCGGTTTCTGGAGGACTGCAGCGGTGGTCTCACCATGGCTGTAGTCTAAGCCTCATCCGTCACTGCATTCTCTCAGCAAGGACATGGAGATGTTTCCTGGGCCAAGGAGGCTGCCATGGTTGGAGTCCCCTAGAGCTTCACCCCTACCCCACCTGCAGTGCTGGGACGAGCTGCACACCTCATGTGGCTCTCCTGCCCATCTTCTGGATGCTCTTCACTCTAAGTCCAGGTCCCAGCTTTACTTCTTCCTGTCTTATTTGGGGCACCTCAGCCTGTCCCAGGAGGTCCCACCTCAACCTGCTTGGTCTCTGTAGTCGTGTTCTCTGCAACCGAGTGAAGAGCTGGCCCTGTGCTGGTGATGGGGGAGAAGAGAGGGACTCAGTCTCATGCATTTTCTTTTTTTCCCCAAGGCCGATGCTGCAACCAGTTTCTTGAGAGCTGCAAGATCCGGGAATCTGGACAAAGCCTTGGATCACCTCAGGAATGGGGTAGATATTAACACCTGTAACCAGGTAAGTGAAACTCATGGGGCTTCTGGTACTATCTCTAGTTCATGTGAAAATGTGCCACTCGGTGACTCCCCCAGGCCCGGTGACAGTCACTGCTCTGCTTCCCTGCACTACTCCTGTAGGATGGAGGCAGGGGAGTTCTCCGTGGCTGCTCACTTGCTCTGCTCTGCGTATCCCATTGGGAGAACCTGGCCTGATCCCACAGTCCTGCCTGCCATGGAGCAGGGTATAATTTGGCTGATAGTAACTTGCCTGGCAGAGGAAGTTCAAAAATCTTGTGGGAGAGGCTGCCTGTGCTTCCCCATCCCCTCCTGCTCCTGATGTGTCTGGCTCCTGATGAGGAGAGATGGGGATGAGAGAAAAGCAGTGCTCTGTTTGGTGGAGCGCAGCGGTGACTCTGCTGTGTGGAGGGGATTTCCTGGGGATGATCTGCTCTGCAAAGGCACTGTGCAGTCTCCAGGGCTGTGCCCCAGAGCTGGGGCCCAGCTGAAAGGCTGGTTGTCTTTGGGGCAGGGAGGGTGGCAATAACTATAAAGGTCTGGGGAGCCTGGCAGTACTGGCTGGAGCATAGCAAAGGGCAGTAACAGGTAAGCAAAGAGGGAGATCTGAGGCTCCTGCAGGGTGACAAGGAACTGGGACAGCTGCGAGAGGCTCAGCCACTTATCAGAGGGCAGAGCAGATAGATGTCTGTGGCCAGGTTGTCACAGGAATCACTCTTGGGGATATGCCCCTCGCCTGCAGCGCTCAGGCTTTCAGGTTCCCAGAAGCTGCAGTTTAATACAAGCCAGGGATGTTTGAAAAATGCCGGTCTTGGTGGCCTAGGAGGTGTTGGGCAGGTGGAAACCCTCCCAGCCCAGTGCAGAGATGGGTCTGCCCCTGGAAAGGAGAGCTGCAGGCACAGAGGAGTTGTTTGCACATAAACAGCAAAACAGTTTGGATCTCTGTAGCTGCCAAATGCAAGTGTCTCAGCCTGAGTCAGTGCAGGTGCTGTAGGGAGAGACTTGGGGGGCTTGGGCTGAGTCCTCGGCTGCTTTCCTGAGCAGTAGTGATGCTGGGGGGGGCGGACAGGGCAGGTAGCACGGATGTATATTCACCTGGTTTAAGTGTCAAGTCCTCAAACTGAACGTAGTTCAGACCTACTGATTTGTGCACTGCAGTGCCCAGTGCAGTCACTGCAGTCAGGCTCCCCCAGGAAATGTCATCATCTCCTTTTCTTTTCTTACCAATGGTACCATGCAGGGATGCTGGGCTTCTGCAGACCCCTGGGGCATGCTGCAGCTTGCATCTCCTCTCTGGGACACTTCATGGGATTTGGGAAAAGCTCAGGAGTTGCTCATTTTGTTCATCACTGTATTATCTTATGATCTGGTTTATTAATTCATAATCAGCGACCAGATACTCTCAAAGACTTCTGTCCTGGGGTTCTGTGGGGCCATACGGGATTTAGATCAGAAGGGTCTTGCAGGGAGAAGAGGTAGAAAATGTTCAGTTTCAGAGTCCTTTGAAGATGAGCTTTTCCATGGGGCCTGTTGGTGGGTTAGAGGCTCTGACCCCATAACTACAGGGTTTGAAGAGAGGAGAGGGCATGTGGCGCACTTTTAGCACTGGGCTGCCTGACATGGCCTGCGCTTGGCACTGGGTAGATCCCGTGTTTGCACCTTCCAAGTTGCTGTGTTTCATTTCAGAATTTGCCCCAGTCCTTAAACCCAGCTGCTGCTTCCCTCATCTCTCCTGGGGGAGCAGCAGCCCCTGTAATTGAGCCACAACAGTGGGCCAGTGGCTGGAAGTGAAGCAGTCACACTGCTCCTGCTCCCAAGTGCTTAGCTACAAACGAGCAGAGACAAATCAGTGTTTAATGCACCCACTGCTCCCTGACAGACCTCTGGGAGAGCAAATCGCAGGGAGATGCTGCCGCACTCCTTCCCAGGAGGGACTGGGGATGCTGCCCTGTGTGGGATGTTCCTGTGTGTGGAGGCTGGGGCAGAGCCTGGAGGGAAAATCACCTTTGCCCGCTCACAAGTGGCTCAGAGAATCCCCCCCTGGCAGTTTCTGTGGGTGTCTGGAAGAGAGGGGTAGGAGTAGGTGGGGGCTGTGTTTGGCCGCACTGGCCCATGCTGTCCGAGCTGGGAGACTCCACAAGCAGAGCGTGCCATGGATGTTCACTCATTTCCAATACAAGCCTAAAACCAGAGGGAGGATTTCCATGTCTGCTGCTCCTGTTCTGCCCTAGTGCGGAGGAATATCTGGTTCTGGAGAGGGCCCTGCAAAGAATTAAAACAGGGAGACCCAGCCACAAGATAAAGACGATGGCTTTGAACTTCTTCCTCACCCAGAGAGATGGTCAGTCACCAGCTGTCTCCACTGACTGGCTACGAGTCCTGTTCCCAGCCAGATTTCTGGTGCTGGTGAGGGAATGCAACACCTTGATCGGGAGCACAGGGCTACGACAGTATGAGGCACTTCCTTCACTGACATCTTTGCTCTGGTTCCTGCCATCTCCCTGAGGTTAGATGGCACTTTGGGGTTTCCTTCTGAGGAATATCAGACCTGTGGGAAAGGTCCAACCTCACATGTCCTGTATAGAATAAAGAGGGATATATGTGGTCAGACCTATCCCACAGGCCCTGTATTCTTACTCAAGTGCAGAGACCTTGACATGCCATCTGATCTTCATCCCGCCGATTTTATCCCCTCCATTGCTGCATTGGTGTCTTCATTATCCACCTCTCGTGTTTTGAATTCCTGCATGCTTCCATCTCATCAATGAGGAGCCGGAGACCTAAGGACAAGCTGCCAGGACTCATGCCAGCAGGGAACAGTGCAGAGCTAGCCAACTAGTCTCTGTTGGGGTGGCCACTACAGTCCTGATGGGCAATCCAGGGCAGGGCCCCACTTTGTCACAGGCTAAGTGCAAAGTCCTGCCTTTTGTGTTTTCTGGGCTGCATTTGTCGCATTGACAGCCAGTGACTGGGATTTTTGGGAAGCATTTGCGGCACTTAGGGAGAAGAATACAGCACCTTTCAAATTAAGCACATCCTGTGGCGGTTTTGGGTCAGAGGAGCTGTCAAGCCAAAGCAAATATGCAAAACAGCCTGTATTGTTCCAGCAGCAGAAATATCGATGGGCTGCAGGGAAATGATCTTCTGCAAACATTGCGCTTATTGCCGTAAGGCCAGAGAATAATGATTCCTCACAGGTTTTCAGCATTCAAAAGGTTATTTACGAATCCCTTGTGTAAAAAGGCACGTGTGTTGAGGAGAGCAACTGAACATCTGTGGTCTTGCACTCCCAGCATTTTTTTGTGAGTGTAACCGAGAAAAAGTGTGTGTGTCTGTGGCCATATCCAACTTGGGAGGTCATGAAGTTAAGGGTGTCGGTGGCCATCTGTATGGAGTTGTGTAGGTGTGTCTTAGTCAAGCTGGGCTTGACCGAGGCGATGGGCTCAGTGGAGCCAGGCTGGGGAGCATTTCCGTTCGGTGGCTCTGTTCTGTGGTTGTTGCAGTGTTCCCACTTCATTTTCCCTTGGAAGCAGGCCTTTTGTGCTTGAGGGTCATAGGGACTTTGGAGTTGGTATGCTGAGGAAGCCTGTGGATTTTTAGGTATTTGCTCTTTGTGCTGTAATCAGTTTTGAGCAAAAGAATCTGTGAATCTTTGACCACGATCCCTGGATAGCTGGTGATTTGAGTGAGAGGGTGGAAAAATCTTTTTCCAGTATGATAACATTCCTGAAGCTGTTCTAAACTTAACTGGAGCTTTGAGGGCTGGAACTGGAGCCTCCCTGGGCATTTTCTGCTCCTCTACCTATATTCAGGTGGGGATGAAGCAATTCTGTGAAGTGACCTTCCAGTGCTCCACAGGAGCCGAAACAGATGGTTGGGAGGTGGAGAGCTTGGGCAGGACCATGTGCTCTCGGGGAGCTGGCGGCTCTGCCAGGCGACAGCATTGCGTAGGGGTGAGTAAACATAGTGCATCTGCCCAGGAGAAGTGAGGGACAAGGAAGGTTTGCCTTGTGGGGAAAAAGTGACATATGAAATTGCCTGCAAGTATTTAACCTCTTTGCTAGCAAATATCCCAGCCCTTTTGTTCACATCTGGGAAGCAGAAGCAGGATGTCAAAAATAATGGAGCAGAAGCTGTCTTAGCAGCCTCTGGGGAACCGACTGGCCTGACACCTCCTGACAGGCCCGGGGATGCTAAAAGGGCATTGGGCAGCCCTTTGCCCCTAGAGCACAGGTCTCATGTGTTGGAAAAGGGCGAGCTAAACTGGGGCACACACAGACCTGTTCCTGAGAAGTCACTTCAGTTGTCTGGGGGATTTCTGGAGCTGGTGGAGCATAGCAGTGGCCCAGCCAACGTTTTTTCTGCACCCTTTGCTGCAGCCAAACTCTGAGGGGGTGAAGCCGACCCTCTGCTGAGCAGGGGCTGCAGGATGGGGCAGTCTGAGAAGCCAGGAAGGAGCTCCTCAACTGGCGTGAATTAAATTTGGCTGCTGCTTGATAAAATCATTGTCGCAGGCAGAGCTTCTCAGCCACTGCACTTCTGCCTGTGTAAATGTTAAAGTTTAATGTTTGTATGGGCACTTTCACAGCAGCTCTGGGCCATACACAAAGCTCTGCTCTGTGCTTTAGGTTTGAAAAGCTGGGCTGCAGGCAGGCGATGGCGGGGTGCGACACCCCAAGGAAAGTCACTTGAGCAGAGACAGTTGACATCAGG